TTCGCGAACGCGAGTCAAATCTCGCGAACGTGATGCTTTACCAAGCGAACCTTCGCGAACACGGTGCACCCTTCACGAACGCGAAGGCTAAAAATCTCCCAGGCCCCAATCGCGAATGTGAAGCACCAAAATAGCAGCCAACAAATCCTTCTTCGTGAACGTGTGAATCCCTTCGCGTTCCCGAAGAGAAAAACCAGACAACAGACACCAGCAACAGCAACTAAGCCAAACTTGGTCCGAAACGACCTCGAAACACACCCGAGGCCCCCGGGACCCCGTCCAATCACACCAACCAGTCCCAAAAGATGAAACAAACTTGCTCGAGGCCTCAAATCACACCAAACAACACCAAAACTATGAATCGACAATCAAAATCCTTCTTTAAACTTTCAAACTTCCAAACTTCGATGAATGCGTCCGAATCATATCAAGACATTCCGTAATGATGCCAAACTTTGGTTGTAAGTCACAAATCACGATACAAAACTATTCCAAGGCTCGAAACCCCAAACAGATATCGATAACATCAAAATCTACTTCAAAGCAAACTTATGAAATTCTAAAACTTTCAAAAAGGTCTACTTTCGATAATAAGTGCCGAAATGCTCCCGGACCACCCGATACTCAACCCGAATAAAATCCCAAGTCCGAAATAATCATACGAACCTATTGGAACCTTCAAATCCCGATTCTGATGTCGTTTACTCAAAAGTCAAACCTTAGTCGATTCTTCCAACTTAAAGCTTCCGAATTGAGAATTTTCCATCCGAATCAACTCCGAACTTCTGTTATGTCGGAATAATAGCTCCAGATCATCTCTTTACATTTGTGGTGGGTGTATAGATGCTTGGGTTTTCTTGGGTGCCATTCCTGTCAAGAAGTGAAGTGAGCATACGGCAAAAACATTCAAAGAAAATGGCAAAGAAACGAAGGGGAAAACACATTCTGCGGATATCATATGCGATCACAGAATAGATCTGCGGACCACAAAATGCACCGCAAAATGAATAATGCTATGGTCAACAAATTATGCGGACCGCATAAGTTGTCGCAGAACTAATCTGCAATCGCACAATGAACAAAAATTCAACTTCAAAATTATCTTGCACCTGTTGACATCTGCGATGAATTCGCAGTCCACAAATCAATTCCGCGACAGCAAAATCCACCGTAAAGTCAACATCCCACAAGAATACAACTTGTCTCAGATATGCAATGATTCTATGGACCGCAAATCAGTTATGCAGCGTCATAGAAGTCATCTTCTTCATTGAGACATGATGCACAGACAATCGTGGGACTTTTATTCTACCCTATACTACATGGACACTACAGAATTTCATAGAGTCAACACACCACAACAATCAATTTATCAGTTTCCATTTCAATCCACGAATACCCACTGTGCATTATCAAGAATCACAACAACTAAGAACCCTAGACCTACCCCCATGATATAGATATAGCATTTTCTCCCCTCGAACAATCACCTAATCCATTTCAGTTAATCATAGAGATAAAGTAGAGCAAATGGGGATCATGGATAGAGGGGAAGGAGATTCATATGAATCAACTAAAACAAAAGAGCATCGGGGATAGAAATTCTTTCCAGATCATTGATGAGATAAGAAGATGCAGTTATTATGCACTTCGGAGCGAAATTCCTGGGTAAAGCGGTTCAAGCTCTTGCTTCTCTCTCTTTATTTTTGTGTTTTGTTCAAACTTTAGAGTAGCAAGGTATGTCGGGAGTGGGAAAGGAGGATGGAGGTGAAGTTTTAATACTTAACAAATCTGCGATGCCTTTTGCTATCTCGAAACAACTTCTGTGATTGCAGAAGCATTTCACAATGCACTTTTACCTGATACGTGCTTGACCAATGCGCGATCATATTCGTGGTCGTAGAACCGTTATGCGGCCCACGAAGTTGACATTCCACCGCATTTTTGAGTGACTTGTTCGGAAACGTCTGACTATTTCTGCGACCAATATGCGGTCCGTAAAACCATTATGCGGTCGCATTTTTGGCCGCAGAAAATCAACTGAAGCTCCATAATTTTCCTTGTGCTTCTTCATCCCACTTAGCTGCATTGTGATTACCCTGCACTATAAAATACCCGTCAAAAATTTCAAAAAAAACAAAAACAAATAAATCTACAAAACAAAAATATAACAATAAATATTTCCAACACATGGGTTGCCTTCGAAGAAGCGCTTGATTTAACGTCGCGGCACAACGATGTTACCCCATTTTGTCAATCAGTTGTGGAGGTTGGTACGGGACCATTTTTCAATTTGAATTGTTCCACCAGCTTCCTTCCTTCAATAGCCCAAGGTAGTACTTCCCCCTTTGGCCATTTATTTTGAAGGTTCGAGTCGCATCCTCAGACACTAATTCAATTGCGCCATAAGGCGAGACACTAAAAAATTTGAATGGGCCAGACCATTTGGACTTTAGTTTCCCCTAAAACAACTTCAACCTTGAGTTGAAGAGTAACACCAAGTCGCCGGATTTGAATTTTCGCTTCAAGATCTTCTTATCTTGAAAAGACTTCATCCTTTCTTTATACATGGTTGCATTCTCATAGGTGTGGAAACAAAACTTCTCCATCTCATTGAGTTGTGTCATTCTTAGTTTAGCAGCTTTGGCTCAGTCAAGGTTTAACTTTTTAAATGCCCACATGGATTTGTGTCCTATCTTCACTGGCAAGTGACAAGCCTTACCAAAAACCAATAGGTAAGGCAATGTTCCAATGGGTGTTTTGAATGCTGTTCGATAAGCCCACAACGCGTCATCTAGCATTCTTGACTCATCGGTCCTGTTTGCATTACTAATTTTTGCTAGAATGTTTTTGATTTCTTGGTTGGAGACTTCAACTTGACCACTTGATTGAAGATGATAAGGGGTGGCCACCTTGTGCTTAATTCCATATTTGTTGAGCAACCCCACAAAGGCTTTGTTGCAAAAGTGAGAACCACCATTACTAAGGATGACCCTTGGGGTTCCAAACCGAGTAAATATGTTCTTCTTCAAGAAGGTGGTTACACTCTTTGCCTCAATATTTGGAAAGGCAACTGCTTTCACCCATTTTGAGACATAGTCCACTGCTACCAAGATATATATCATGCCGTATGAGTTCACATAGGGACCCATGAAATCGATCCCCTACACATCAAAGATATCTACCTCCATCACAAAATTCATAGTAATCTCATGTCTTCTAGAAATTGACCCTTGTCTTTTACATTGATCACATGCCTTGACCATTAGATTTGCATCTTGGTATATCGATGGCCAATAGTAGCCACATTCAAGCACTTTTGCCACCGTATAGTTTCCACTGAAATGACCCCCAACTGGAGAGTCATGACATGCTTTAATAATCGGTGTCACCTCATCTTCCAGAAGACAACACCGAATGATGTTGTCGGCACATATCCAGAATAAAAATGGTTCCTTCCAATAGTATTGCCTACAATCCCTCAAGAACTTTTTCTTTTGATAAGCTTCCAATTCCTCAGGGATAAGACCACTAACCACGAAGTTAGCTATATTGGCATAGTAAGGAGTTGAAGTGCTAGATATTGCCAAAAGTTGTTCATCTAGGAAGGCATCATTGATTTCAAGTTCTCCCTTTGGTCTCCGTGCCTCTTCAAGCCTAGATAAGTGATATGCGACTTGATTTTCCGTTCCTTTCCGATCTTTGGTATCCTTCTTTGTCATAAGGTAGGAGATAGCAACATGATCGGTAAAGACTATCACCTTGGATCCCATCAAATAGGCCTGGAATTTCTCAAAAGCATAGACAATAGCAAGCAATTCTTGCTCCGTCACAGTGCAGTTCATTTGTGTGTCATTGAATGACTTGCTTGCATATTAGACAGGGTGTAAAATCCTTTTGTGTCATTGACCAAGCACCGCCCCAATAGCCACACCACTTGCATCATACATACGCTCAAATGGAAGAGACCAATTAGGTGTAACAATAATAGGTGCCGTGGTGAGATTTTCTTTCAATTCCTCAAAAGCTTTGAGGCACTTCTCATAGAACACAAATTTAGCCTCATTTTCAAGAAGCTTTCACATGGGACTCGCAATCTTTGAGAAGTCTTTGATAAATTGCCGATAGAAACTGATATCCCCCAAAAAGCTTCAAATAGTTTTGACCGAAGTGGGAGGAGGAAACTTGGAAATAACTTTAATTTTTGCTCGATCAACCTCAACGCCTTTCTTGGAGATTTTTGTGGCCAAGAACAATACCTTCATCCACCATGAAGTGACATTTTTTCCAATTGAGCAAAAGGTTGGTCTCCTCGCATTTTTTGAGTACTTACCTAAGATTATCAAGGCAATATTCGAAGGAATCCCCAACTACAGAGAAGTCATCCATGAATACTTCCAAGAAATCCTCCACCATGTCCGAGAAAATCAATATCATGCATCGTTGAAAGGTAACCGGGGAATTGCATAGCCCAAATGGCATCCGTCTAAATGCAAAGGTCCTATACGGACATGTGAATGACGTCTTATCTTGGCCCTCTAAGGCTATGTTGATTTGGTTATAGCTGGAGTAACCATCCAAGAAGCAATAAAATGACCTTCCCTCTAGCCGATCAAGCATTTGATCAATTAAAGTCATAGGGAAATGGTCTTTGCAAGTAGCACTATTAAGCTTCCGGTAGTCCATGCAAACTCTCCACCCGATCACCGTCCTCGTTGGAATGAGTTCATCTTTATCATTTTGAATCATGGTCATGCCACCCTTCTTTGGTACATATTGCACCAGACTCACCCCAAGGACTATCGGCAATGGGGTAGACAACCCCGACATCCAACCATTTTATAATTTCTTTCTTCACCACTTCTTGCATGGAAAGGAATAAACCTCCTTTGATGCTCCACACTTGGATTGGTATCTTCCTCAAGTTTGATTTTGTGCTCACAATTACTGATGGGAATCCCTCGGATATCCTCTATCGTCCAACCAATGGCTTGTCTATGCTACCTCAATGTCTCCAATAATTTCTCAACCTGCACATCATTTAACAAAGAAGAAACAATTACGGGTAGAGTTTCGTTAGAGCCAAGGAATTTATACATTATGTGTGATGGTAGTGGCTTGAGTTCAAGTTGTGGCGGCTCAATGATTGAAGGCTTGGTGAGAGGAGTGGCTCTATTCTCCAAGTCAAGGGAAAGCTTCTTTGGTGCATAAGTGTAGGAACCAAACCCTTCCAATGCATTCACTGTCTTCATATATCCTTCTATGTCCTCACCACCAAAATTCATCAACATCGCTGCCAATGCCTTATCAAGGAATTCCTTTTCCATCTTTACCTCAACGGCATCTTCTACCATATCAACAACATCAAGTACTGAGATACTCTTGTATGTATTTGGCAATTTCATACCCTTACTTGCTTGAAAGGTAACTTCTTCGTTATTAACCCGGAATTTTATCTCATTTCTTTTCGAATCCATGAGGGCTCTCCCGGTTGCAAGGAATGGTCTCCCTAAGATGATATGGATCTCTTTATCAGCTGCACAATCAAGAATAATAAAGCCGATAGGGAGGAAAAACTTCCCCACTTTCACAAGCACATCATCCATTATCCCTGCCGGTCGCTTCACTAAGCGATCGGCCATTTGAAACCTCATACTCGTAGGCCTAGGCATTCCCAATCCCGCTTGCTTGTAGATAGAAAGAGGCATTAAGTTGTTGCTAGCCCCATTATCAGAAAGAGCTCGTGCAAAGTCACGCAATCCAATAGTGCATGGAATGGTGAAAGCCCCCAGATCCTCTTTCTTTTGCATGGCGGTTGTTGAAATGATGGAGCCAATTCGGTTGGTGACACTAACCATTTCATTATTGATGGTCTTATTTTTCATGATCAAATCCTTCAAGTATTTAGCAAAACTGGGAATTTCTTGGAATGCTTCCACAAATGAAATGTTCACTGATAATTGCTTTAAGATGTTGTCACGCCCTAACCTCGGGGAGCGTGACCGGCGCTCAACTGAGCGGGCCCGATCAAGCAAGCCTGTTAAACACTTTCTACCCAACTCGCTTATGATGAGAGAAGTCATGTTTTTATTAGCTAAACAGTAGAAGGACCATATATATAGACATTACTAAACCATTTCATTTTGCTACTTCCCTGTTAAGTTTCAAAATACATACATTTTGTGACTTAGTGGAACAAAAATCCAAAATACAATATAATCCGTTTGACCTTTCTAGCACCCATATACAACCCACATAGCGTCCACAGAGCCTCTAAAGATACAAAAGAGTGTAAAGAAGGTGACGGCAACAAGGCCCCGACTATACCTCAAAAAGTACATAAATATAAACAAAAGATATATTACATGACCCCGGAATGAAATGGGGCTCATCGAGTCCGCTGAGAAGAAGATGCAACACCTATCTGTGATCAACATTGTCTGCTATGGAACCACCTGCATTCATTTAAAGATGCAGCGCCCCCGACAAAAGGGACATTAGTACTGTCGAATAGTACTAGTATGAAAACTAAACACCATTTCAATAAAATGAATAGTAACACAAGGGAAACAGTCAAGAAGCAATATGAACTGTAAGTAACACTAAAACGCCAAGTGAAATATCACTTAGATTTTCAAGTCAATTGCCACCAATATACCACAGTCCACAATACCACTGTGTTCTTACACGAAGTCCGATCTCGGCCCGATCGGCTAAGCCATCTCATTTAAGACATCAACCATATTCACTATTTCATTCACAATACCACCGTGTTATTACACGGAGTCCGATCTCGGCCCGATCGGCTAAGCCATCTCATTTGAGACATCAACCATGTTAACAATACCATCGTGTTATTACACGGAGTCCGATCTCAGCTCGATCGGCTAAGCCATCTCATTTGAGACATCAACCATTTCAATCGATCATCTTACTTCATATTTCTCTCCCATCTTTTCAGCACATTGGCACAAATGGCTTTAATTATAAAGTTGTTCTTGGCACTTGGCCTTATCTCATTATTCGAGTTCTTTTTCATAATCCAATATTATTATTATCATTAATAACAACACGGTTTTCATTCAAGACTCTTGATTTCACATGTGAGCAATTTAGAATTCAAGGCACATAGAGGCTTTTCACACAATTTGGCATAACAGTCTTTAATCGAATTTGACTTGAAGTCTAGGCATAGTAGCACATATTCTAAGTCTTGAACATTTCCTCAGATGACGAAATAACATGATGAAAGCATGTGAATACATATTACACATATATTTGCAAAGCAAGCACATTCGGGATAACAATTTCTAGGATGTTTAATTTGGGACTTACGTCGATTGCATGAATACCGTGGGTTTCAATTCTAAGAAGAGGGCGTTTATCCAACATTCATCAATTGAGCCTCTTAAAACTCTAAATTGTTTTAGAATATTAGAAACTTCAATCTATTTTAGCAATATAGCAAAATTGAACCCAAAATTAGGAAAACGATCATAATTCTAGCTCACTTGAGCATTCTATCAAATACTATGTAAGTATTAAGGTTTCATGGCCCTTTTTATGAAAGACTCCACCAACCCACACCCCATTCTTTTCTATCTTTAACTCACAACCTCCCCACATACCTTAGGAACACATGCATGCAAGGTAATCACTCCCATCCCCATGAATTACCTTGCTAATGGCCCATTTTAGTTACATTTTGAAATTAAGAGTTTGGGGTGATAGAATCTTACCTCTTAGGAAGAAGACCTAGGTGCCTCTCTTGATAATCTTCAAGGATTTAAGTGAGAATTGAAGAGAAATTTGATGAAGATCACTTTCTCCCTCTAGGACCCTCTCTCTCACTCTAAAAATATCAGAAAATAAGTTCAAAATGGTCCAAGGTAGGTGTTTTAACGGAATAGGGTTGGGTTTAGAAAACCCAAAAATGATGCTCCGAAAAAGGTTCTGCGGTCGCATATGCGACCACATAATGATTATGCAGTCCGCGAAATGACCGCGAATTTTGGTGCCAAAACTGGAAAGGAACTGACCAAGTCTGCGGTCACTATGCGGCCCCGCAGACCTGTTCTGTGGTTGCATAATGCACCGCAGAATGGTTCTGCGGTCGCATAGTGCACCGCAAAACCTCCCTCCGAAAAATACCAAAGCGGGATGTGCGACAAGAGTGTAGCCCCCGAAATGGTTATGTGGTCGCATAATTGGCCGCAAAAATGACATTAAAAATGGCCCAAAAGACTGCTCCACTTTGCGGCCATTCTGCGGTCCGCATAGTGGTTCTGCTCAACCTTTTCATGGATCACATCTTGACCCTTCACCTTCTTCAGAATTCTCTCAACTTCAACAACATTAGGCACCTCAACTTGTGTCTCATCTTCTTGTTAAACATCTTCCACTTCGACTACCCGTTCACTCTCACTTTGAAGTAGTTTCCCACTTCGAGTTGTAATGTCCATACAATGACAGGTTGGGCTACCACCACTATCCTTTGGGTTTGTAATTGTATCACTTGGGAGTGTGCCTTTTGTTTTTGGGTTTGTCCCGATGCGTGCTGAACCGTATCCTTAAGGACAAGGAAATAGGGGTCGTTATACTAACGCTCTCTGATATGGTCATATAGAGAAGACCGAAAAACCACACAGGCAAGAACTATATTGGGCTCCGAAACATCCAATCTAACAAACTGGTTGGCTAAAGCCTGAACCTCCAATGCTAATGGCCTCTCCGTTGTCGGCAGATATGCTAAACTACCCAAACTCTCCGCCTTTCGCCGCAAGGCATCGACCACCACATTGGCCTTCCTGGGATGATATAGAATGGTGATATCATAGTCCTTAAGTAGTTCTAACCACCTCCGCTACCCCAAGTTAAGATCTTTCTGTTTGAACAAATGTTGTAGACTCCGGTGGTCGGTAAAGACCTCACAATGGACACCGTACAAATAATGCGGCCATATCTTTAGTGCATGAACAATGGTTGCCAACTCCAAGTCGTGGACTGGATAATTCTTTTCACGGGTCTTTAGTTGTTGAGAGGCATAGGTAATCACCCTACCGTCTTGCATCAACACCGCACCAAGGCCAACATATGACACATCACAATACATAATATAAGACCCCGAACCCGTAGGTAACGCCAACACTGGGGTTGTAGTCAAAACAGTCTTGAGCTTTTGAAAGCTCACCTCACACTCCTCGGACCATCTGAAAGGAGCACTCTTCTAGGTCAATCTGATCATAGGTGCAGTTATAGATGAAAAACCCTCTATGAAACGACGATAATACCCAGCCAAACCAAGGAAACTCCGGATCTCAGTAGTTGAAGACGGTCTGGGCCAATTCTGCACCACCTCAATTTTTTTTTCTGATATACCTTGATCCCCTTACTCAACACCACATGACCCAAAAATGCCACCGAATCAAGCCAGAATTCACGGTTTGAGAATTTTGCATACAACTTCTTCTCTCTCAAGGTCTAGAGCACGATCCTCAAGTGCTGCTCATGATCTTCCCGACTGCAGGAGTACATCAAGATGTCATCAATAAACACAATGATGAATGAATCAAGATAGGGCTAGAATACACTGTTCATCATGTGCATAAATATTGCTAGGGCGTTGGTCAGCCCAAATGACATCACAAGGAACTCGTAGTGACCATACCAAGTCCTAAAGGCAGTCTTCAGAATATCCAAATCCCGAATCTTCAGCTGATGATAACCCGACCGCAAATCAATCCTTGAGAACACTCTGGTACCCTGTAGCTGATTAAATAAATCATCAATGCGTGGAAATGGATACATGTTCTTCACTATAACCTTGTTCAACTGCCAATAATCAATACATATGCGCATATAACTGTAAGGCCCCATAAAAGTTCACCTAGAACCCGGGGTTTCGTGATGTCAAGGTGGACTTATGTGTTTATGATTCTAGAGATTCTTCGCGGTGAGCTTGCTCGTTGTGGTACGGACTTTTTGGGTTGATCAGTGTAATGGGGAGTTGAAGAAAAATATTGGAAGAGCAGGGCATTTCTGCGGTCCACTATGCGACAACCAAATCACTCTGCGAGCCGCAGATCGACCGCAGAGTGCAACATAAAAATGGCCAATTTTTGAAGGTCGTTTTGCGGTCCAATATGCAACCGCATAATGCTTTCGCGGGCCGTACAATCCATCGCAGATTCAGCATGAAGATTTTCGGATGGGAGTTCTACGATGCATTATGCGACTGTAGAACTGATCTACGAATCGCAGACCTACCGCAGACCTGACCCGAACAGCCCAGTTCTTGACATCACTTCTGCGGCCCATTTTGTGGACTGCATATCCATTCTGCGGTCCACTTTGTGACTGCAGAGCTGTGTTTGAGGGTCCATTTTCTGGTTTTTATAACCCGACCCTATTTCAATATATAGTCGTTAAGGGCCATTTGTAAAGTAAAAATATGATATTTTGGGAGTGACGAAGTGCTCTAGAGTGAGAGGGGGTTCCTAAACTAATTGTTCATCAATTCTTGCTCAATACTTGGAGAATTAACAAGGAAAACTCATTAGGTCTTCATCTTAGTGGTAAGATTCTACTCCCTAGCCTTTAATTTCGGGATGTAATTGAAAATAGGTAATGAGAAAAGCAATTCACGGGTGTGGGAGCTGTTCATTATGCATGCATGTAGTATCAAGGTTTGTGAGAAGATTGTTGAGCGCAATTGGGTAGACTTTGGGTAGTGCGATGAAGGAATCCACCATAGGAGGACCTCGAAATCATAATGCCCACCTAGTGTTTGATAAAATGCTCAAATGAGCTGGAACCATGAACTCCTTCCTAATTTGTGTTAAATTTTGTTATATTTCCAAATATATCAAAGTGTCTAGGATTTCCAAATCATTGTAGTAATTTAATGAAGCTCAAGGCGAGGTATGTTGGCTAAACGTCTCTCTTAGAATTTAATCCCACAATGTTCTTGTAAACCCCTAGTTGATCATTATAAATTTCACTATTCCGAATGCTTTTATCTTATTGTGTAATCCTTCGAGAATGTGATCTAGGTATGGGCTATGTGTTAACATGCTATGACTTC